GAAAGCAACCTAAGCGTTCCTCAATGGATGAGTGAATAAAGTAAAGAAGAAGGATCTCGTACCCTTTGGGACAGTATGGATGGACCTGGAGAATATTGTGCTAAGCGAAATAAGCCAGGCAGAGAAAGACAAACATCACGTAATCTAAAGAGCATAATAAGCTGATGAACAGACTAGATGCAGTGACAGAAGCACAGATCAGACTGATGAATCTTGGAGGGAAGGTAGGGGTGGGTGGGGGAGTGTGTGTGTGGGGGGAGATTAACCAAAGAATTTGTATTCATATAAGCATAAGCCATGGACACAGAAAATAGTGTGGTGAAGGCCTGGGCTGGAGAGTGGGTGCGGGGTGGAAGAGGTCAATGGGGAAAAAAGGGGACATCTGTAATACTTTCAACAATAAGGATAAATTAAAAAATAAAGAAGATCTGGTGTGTATATACATATGCAATGGAATACTATCCAACCATAAAAAAGAAGGAAATCTTGTCATTTGTTACAACATGAAGGACCTTGAGGGTATTATGCTAAGTGAAATAAGTTAAATGGAGAAAACAAATACTGTATGATTTCACTCATATGTGAAGTCTAAAAAACACACCACAAAATAAACGAATAAGCAAAATAAGAACAAACTCATAGATACAGAGAGCAGATCGGTGGTTATCAGAAGGGAAAGGGGTTGGAGAGAGAGGGAAAAGTGGGTAAAGGGGGTCAATTGTCTGGTGATAGATGGTAACTAGACTTTTGATGATGATCAGTTTGTAGTATATACAGAAGTCACACTATAAGGTTGTATACCTGACACCTATGAAATTCTATATTCCAGTTTTACCTAAATTAAAAAAAGACTTGTCACATAATTTAAACAATAGTAAACAGTATGATTTTATTTGTGCAAAAATATGTTTCTGTGCACCCCAAAATATTGGATATAAATACATTAGGCTGTTAGCAGTGGTTATATCGGAGCATCTTGGGGGCAACCTTGACTTTCTATATATTTATCCATTTTTCAGGTTATTTTACTACTAGCATTTATAGTTTTAATAGTTAAGAAAGAAAATTAATTTCTTTGTTAAAATATACTTAGGACACCTGCAGAATAATCACGAGGCTGCCTTTATTTATCCACATGTGCTTAAACATTCCCTAGGATGAGTTAACCTAAGATAAAAACTTATTTCAACCAAAATTATATTGCTTGTTAACTATAATTGAGTAATGTGTGACATTCTGGAGTCACATTAACATTTCTTATGATGTTATCAGAGAAATTACTTGGTGACGATCTGGATTACAGATAGTTTTCTAGAAATACTAGCCTAGTACAATTCTCTTGTAATGCCTAAAACTTGTGCTGTGCCTTTCCATGCCCACTGGTGCTGCTGGCTTTGGGTTTCACTGAAGGTACAGGTTTCTCTTGAGGACTTCTTTCTTTGTAGGAATCAGGAAACCCTGAGGGAGCAATGGGGGATTTTAGGGATTTGGGGACCAGGCTGGATTAGGCTGGGCTGTTACGTAGTGTCCATGTGTAGATTTAACCTAAATTATTGCCAAGTTGGTGTCAGAGAGAGAGTATCACAAGGCCATCACCAGGTCCTGGCTGTAGAAAATGAGGCCAGAAATCAGAATTCTAAAAACCCTCTGCAGTTTCCAGTGCCCTGGGAATAGCATCAAAACCACTTGGCCTGAGAAGCCCTTTCTGCCCTACCAAGCATCTCATCATTTGAGCCAGTTTGGCCTTTCAGACTCTCTGGAGGCCAAGCATTTTCCCCCTTTAAAGCCTTTGCTCACTCTATTTCTTTCACCTGAATGGCATCCCCTGGCTTTGCTGTGGGTGGCTTCTCTTGAGTCGCAGTGTCACCTCTTTCGTGAGGCCTTCCCTAATTAATGAATCTTAGTAGGCCTCTCTTCTCTCTATTTTAGCCTCCTGATTGCTTCTTAGCACTTCATATTTTCTACTTAAAGTGCATTCACTTTCTCCCTCTCTTCTCTTTAGATTGTCACTCTTGAGTGAATATGGACTTTCTTTTGTTTGTATCACCTGCAGTTGAAACTGTCTGAGCAGCACCCATGTCCCTCTCCACTGCCCACCTGCCAGGCTTTCAGCACCCAGCATGTGCATTGCTTTGCTTGTGGACTTTGTCTTCTGGAGGCTGACACTGTGTACATGTGCTTCCACCTGAAATGCTAAAAAGAAAGTAGCCCTCAACCAGTCACTGATGGGAATTAGAGTATAAATATCCAGGCTTCTGCACCCTTTTGGGGAGCTAGTCATCTAAAGTGCTGGTGGCTCAGTAATGCATCTAAATTGGCTAACTCTGTGTCCCAGTCTGAATTCCTCACTCCCAAATAAACGGCTTACACTCAGATCCTGTGCAGGGGTTGGGGTGGACTATTTCCATCACGTGTAGGTGATAGTAAGTGTATGAGTTAATGGAAGGATAGGTGGGTGGATGGATGGAATAAGTGAAGAGTAGGTTACAGAATGGAGTTCCAGGTTGGATGAGGGGTAAGCTTTTGAACTATTCACTGAAAAAACAAAGGTGCCGTGAGCTCATTCTAACTGGGGCTAGTTGGCTCACAAAAAAAATGTAAACCCATTAAAGTTTGCAGAGAATCTTAGCCACAATTTTAATAGCTAAGGTTTTCTTTAGACCCAATTCTTGATTATCTTATGGATGCCTGACTTATGTGCAGTTTTTAAATTTATTGCCATATTATGGTATTTACTTAAAGAATTAAAATGTGCTGTGCAAACACTTATGTAACCTTCGACATGAATCTTCTTTTTTTCAGTTTAGGTGGCATTAACAGTCGGAACAATCACCTTTCATATATATCTGGAAGTGAGAACGGGGCTGTAAGTGAAATCAGCTGGTGAGATTTAGTCAGAGCCCCAGAAAGGAGTGATCACGAAAGGTGATCTAGGTGATACGGATGTAACTGACTTTAGTGTGGAGATTCTTGTTAGAGATTTTTATCATCATTGGACAAGTTCACAGAGTTATTTGGGAGCCGACTGGAACGCCTGAGTCAGAAAGCATTTATATTTTCAGCAGATCATGAATATGGAGACTAAACTGGGTTTCTTGATAGCAAGAAAAAACATCAAAGTCTGACCCCAGTGATGTCTGCATGGCAGGCAGGTGACTGTGAATCGTGGAAAATATGAGTGGTTGGGCCAGTTTGCTTTATAATTAGTATTGTTTTCAAATACAAAGTGATTCATATGGACTAGTAAATTATTTATCATTAAGTAAAGCATTTCTCAAATAACAAAAGGGTTTAATTCTGACACTTCAGGTGATCAGTGTTAGCTAGCTCTATAATTAAAACGTTAAAGATCATGTGTCTAAAATTCTGTAAATTTGAATAAACTTTCTATAAGGAAATATTAATATAATGGTGCTGGTGGCAGAATATTTGTGTTAAAAGAGGCATTGTGTATGAAGCTGAACTAACTAAATATGATGGAAATGACTGTTGAGAACTAATTCCTAGGAAACATTCCACTTCCTTTCATGAATTGGCCTGCTTTTCTTCATGGACTTCGAGAATTTCATGAATAGTGTGCAGTTCTGGTTGTTTTTGTACCTTTGTCTACAAAAGAGCTCCGAACTTAATTTGCAGCTCAGTTTTTCTAAGCACATGGAAACTTATGGCTTTTATATTTATCTTCTAAATTTCCCTTTATTTTTAAAATCTATTTTTTTTCTCGGCCTGATATTTTTTTTTTTTTTTTACATTGCCTGTATTTTTCTCTCTTAATTTATGTACTTATGTAAGTCACCACGAGCTTTTTGTGGAAAGTGGAGGAATGAATGGTTCATGTATAAAACATTGAGAAACAATCTATTTTGATTGCATTACTACTTTCCTTTCAAGGCCCAATGTCTGTGAAGAGCAGCAGCTGGCCATGGTGGGACTTCCTCGCCCGTGTGTCCGAGCTGTCACACACACCGTCAGGCTCTGGAGACAGGGCTGCGCCGGCCCGAGCTGGTGTGTGGGCTACGAACGAAGGTAAGGGTGCTTCTGCTACTCCTTTTGACTCTCAAAATCAAACTCAAAAGCCTCAACTGCACCTAAAGATTTTCTCCAATAAATTTTAGAGAATCATTATATAATTAAGTAAACAAGCATAAGATATATCCACCAGGAAATTTGAGAGACAAGATATATTATTAATTTACTTCTGGCCTCATTTAAGTGTGAGGTACTTTGGGGTAGATGCTACTAATTTTATCACATGATGTGGCAGAGTGTTGAAAGCTAAAGATCAGAAGACAGACAGAAACAAGGAATATTGTGTTGGTTTGCTGAATTTAGCAGGACTTGGATCTGGGGTGCCTGAGGTTGTGAAGGGCTATCTGCCCTGCCCTCAGTTCTCTTCTCACACTTTGAAACCCAGAGCTTCTTTGACTCGAGGATGGCCTTTGAATTAAGATCAACTCAGCAGGTTGGGAGAGAAGAGCAAGTACAGTGTTTTCTCTGCTTCAAGGCTTCCTATGGATTTTGAAAAGTTTTAAAATAGTTTTACAAAATATCCAAGTACCTCTTAATACAAATGGTTGCTGATGGGTTAAGTTTTAGGTAAATGAATCAACTGCATCTGAATTAAAGATTTAAAGTATGGATTTAGATTAATGAATTTGTTATTATTGTTACTACTACTGCCAAAGGAAAGTTGGGGACATTTATAAATAACTGGATTTGCCATTGTATAGAAATACCAGAGCACTAATAATATAGTACTAAATAAGATATTATAGGATTAAGTATTTTATTGTTAAGGATATTTACATATACATTGCATGTGCACACTAGTGTGTGTGTGTGTGTGTGTGTGTAACCTTCATATATATGGTCTTTTTAAACTTCATACTTAGGACCTTTAAATGAAATTTAAATTGGAAAACTTCCCCTGGGTCTTATTAACTGTATGGCCCTAGGCAAAGTTCTTATATTTCTGTGTGCCTCAGACTGTAAAGTTAGAAAAAAATAATACCATGCATGGTATGGTATATTTAACACATGTGGCACGATGCTGGGTACCCATTAGGTACTCAATATGTTTGTTCATTAGAGTAGTTGTTTTTGAAAAAAATGCCTTTTTGTTTAGATTTCATGTACTGCCCCATGAAGTTTAATCATTGTTGATATTAGACAACCAAAGAAGTTCATTACAATAGACATTCAGGCTTGGGAAAACAAACATAAATAAGAAAAACACATTTTATATTTTTATTCTCAATAGCTTAGCAGTTTTACATATTTTTTAATTCAATAAATATTTATGACATTGGCTTTGGAGTTGAGGCAGTGTTCAAGGATATTTGGCATCTTTGCCACATTAATACCCCTTTTGTTTGTAGGTAAGTATGCAAACTTATACTTATGTCCCTACTGGGGAGCTACACATACAAAATATTAGGTTATACTTCAGGATGGAGCATAACTGTCCCAAAAAGTGGTATGGCCAGTAAGTCCTGTTTTCGAGGGAGCAATACATTGCATGGTGGGGAAAGAAAAGTTTGAGGAAGTGTAACTTGAAATTGGCTTTGAATAATGAAGGGGATTTGGGGATAGGTATATAAAGGGGAGAGAATATGTTAATACTTTTGACATAAAGAAACAATATGACACTGATTTGATAGAAAGGAAATTAGACAGTTTAGAGATGTTTGGTATTATAGTGTATTAAGAGGCCGGCACGAATATCTATAGTTTAGTGTTTTCAACCTTTGTTCATTATTGTCCCCCTGAGGAACCTTTGTAAATTTTAAAAAATTTTTGTAATTGTCCCCCGCCCCCATGAAGTTTTAATACCGCAGGTATACTGTGTACTGTGGTCCTTTGTAGGACCACAAACCAGTGTATTAGCAAAGCTTTTTTCTACCCCTCCCACCCAAGAACCAGCTGTCGCCCCCTTGTAGGTGAATCACCGCTGTTGAGAATGCGTGCTATAGTGGGACCACTCTAGGAGGGGCCTTCACTGTCACATTGAAAAAACACGTAACTGACTACCCTTCAGAATTTCATTATTCACTTCCTAATTTTGGGTTTCATCCTTGATAGCTTGAGTGACCCTTAGAATAGCTTATACCACAGGATGTGAGGGTTTCTCTTGTGCACACACACATGTGCATGCATATATAATATATACAAATAGTATATATGTATTGTGTGTGTATAAATGGCAGGATTTGGGTTGTTCGGAGAATTTTTAGTGGATTTAAGATGACAACTTTGCTGTAAGAGGAAGTATGATCTAGATTCCTGTGTTTCTTAGGACCCGGTACTACATCATGTACAGACAGACATATAGCATGGAGCGACAGACTGTCTACAGGTGCTGCCCAGGTTGGCGCCGGCAGGACGGTGAACCTGGCTGCCTGTGCTGTAAGTTATAACTCTTCCTGTCTAACTCTCTGTCACTTGAAGTAATGGTTTCACTCCTTTTGGGGCTTCAATCATATCATGCCTGTCAAGTGTTAGGCATCTTTAGAATCACCACAGACTCAGAGCATCTCCTTGGACTGAAAATTCACATGTGACATGTGCAAAATGCACAAAAAAGCTTTTCCGATAAACGTTTCTAATGATAGGTCAGAACTCAAGCCCCATAGGACTGCCACTTTGCATTCTGTCTCTTTATTTAAAAGACAGTTTATTTAAAGCCAGCCAGTTACACCTTGACTTCCATCACACTTTTCCATTTGCCCCTTTCCCATATCATCAAATTTGTAATCCACAGTGGATTCAGGAGTCCAGAGGGAAATCACCGTACTAAATCTAAATGGGATTTCTCAACCTGTACATGTCATGATTAATTGCAGAACTCTGGAGGCAGTTTACTTTTTGAGATGAGCTATGCAGTCCTTGTACAAATGTGTGGGGAGAGTCTCCCAGAACCCTCAAGTGTGTTTGACAGCACTCACACGGCAGAACTGGTGGCATTATGTCGTTCATTCTTGCCAGGACAAATGGCTCCATTTAGCGACCCTTTTACCTGTGTGTTTATGGATATTGCAAAGGCACTTAAAATGCTTCAGTGTGTTGCAATCAGTGCAGCACCACAGCGCAGTAATTTATTTCTCCTGCTACCCTGTACCTTAGGGAGTTTGTCAGCATCCTGCTTCCTTCCCACTGTACTTTCTGCTCTTGAACTAGCTTAGTGAGGTGCCTCAGGCCTACCGTGTTAAGCAGGCTCGGTGTTAATGGCCACTGCATTTGCATGCAGTCCTAGGTAGGCCACTGCAGCTGGCTGGTCTAAGCTCAGTTGCAAGCATCTGCCCACGATGCCATTTCAACTATTTTATAAACTCCTGGAAATAATGACTGTGAGACAAACTCTTTAAATTCTTGTATGACACCAATCACAGTCCTTTGCCTCCGGGAAATACTGGTATTTCTTGCTTGAGTTTTAGATTGTTTTGGCCACACGATCATCTTCTTCATGGAGTTTCTTTACACTAGTGCTACTCAAACTTGAACATAAATTCAAATTACCTTGTATCTTTTAAAAATGTGGATTCTGACTCATTAGGTCTGGGGTGGGGCCTGAGATTCTGCATTTCTACAAGCTTCTGGTGAGGCGGATGCTGCCACATAAAGAGTTCTACAAGGCTTTAGAGAGCAAGGCCTTAACTTGTAATGAAAACAGTGTTTAATCTTGCTATGGAGGGGCCGGTGGAAATTTCTAGATTATATTTATATTAGCAACTTGGTGGTTACATTGGGGATTTTCTTTCTTTCTCTCAACAATGTTCTTCATTCCCCCTCATCTACCCTCCTTTTTAGCTGTCTCTGCCGTGGGGACATGTTTCAATGGAAGATGCTTGGACAGTGAAGCCCAACGGTGCCAGTGTTCCGAGGGTTTTCAGGGGCCCCACTGTCAGTATGGTGAGTCACCATCAAGACCATTTTACAGATGCTCCTTGATTTATGATGAGGTTGTGTCCCCACGAACCCTCCTAAGTGGAAAATGCATTCAGTACTGCACTGTATGTATGAGTTGTCTACCCTGGTGAGTTCATTGCCGACTGAGAGCTGTAGCTCATTGCTGCTGCCCAGCATTGCAAGAGAGTATGATACTACATATTGTTAGCCTGTGAAAAGATCAAAATTCAAAATTTGAAGTACGGTTTCTACTGAATGGGTATTGTAAAGCTGAAAAATTGCAAGTCGAGCCATTCTAAGCCAGAGATCGTCTGCATTGTGATTTGGAGTTGTCTGCTTTGCTTTCAGGGACCAGCCAATTTTGTCGATGTAGACTAATGGCTGGGTTGTACCTATGGGGATTGGTGAGCATTTAAAATGAGCCACTAAGCAAAAAACCTCCAAGCTACAGGATACTCAGCATCACAAATTATGCTTTGCAGTTCAGTTTTAATATTCACTCTAAGAGTTCAAAGGGTAGCAGTAAGTACAAAATGGTCTGTTTTATAAAGGAAATGGCAGCTTAATATGAAAACCTCATTCTAACCTCAGATGTTAAATCTTTAATGGGGCCACGGTTTGAAAGTGCTGGGACAGTATTTTCCTGTGAGATCTCTGTGGTTTGTGAATGAACAAAGTGGGGATTAATGCAAATTTAGTGTGATATTTACTACTTCTGTACCCTGTATTAAAAAACAACAACACTTGCATGACTCTCAACATTTTAAAACTTGATAACCTAGTCCACAAGGTAATTTTATCAACTGCCAATTTTGGACATGTGCATTTCAGGTTTTCCTTGTGTAGGTAATTTTCACAATGGCCAGTGATTTATGCTTTACTGCATCTGCCATGAAAGCCGGTCATTCCAAAAGGATTTGTTTTGACTTGGTGGTTTGATTCTAGTCTCCAGGGAATCTGAGTGCATCTGCATTTGTCTTTTCAGGGCAGGACAAACAAAACAAAACTGATCTTACAGAAGAAGTTAAAGGTGTAAAAAGCTAATGAAAAGATTATACTCATTAGCTTTTGCTGATATGTTTGCCTCCTCTTGTCCTTTACTTGAATCTTTGTAAGTGAAATTGAAAGGTTGCTGAAAGCTCATCACTCATGTCCATTTGTCTCCTCTGTCCTTGGCGTAAGGTTAAGGCTCAAGATTTTCATGGGTTACTTCACAGCTATTCTTCCTGTAAATTAATCCTTTGCTTTAAACAAACAAATATGTGAATTAAAATATAGCTGACTTTCAACCCCAGTTTATTCTGTGACTAGTACTCTGATCCTGAGACAGGTCAGTGGACATGTTGAGCTCTAGGATGTATTTTCAACGGTTTTCTTATTTTTAAGAAGCTAGCAGAAATTATACATTGATCCATGACAACAAATCATTTGCCTCTAAATAAACTGTGTCAACTACATGTGGAGCACTGGTTTCCTCATCTTGATCAGTAGCTGTGGTGGGCAATTACATATGTCAATGATTCACTAAGAATTTCTAAAAATTAATTATTATTTCATTAATTCATTTGTTTTGGTAGAACAAATCTTTCAAAACATCAAGTCCCTGAGGGGAAAAGTAATTAAATAAACATGTGGTAATGATAATGGCTTAGATGTTATACCTGGGCTAATTTATCTTTTATTTTCAACATCAGTACTGGAATATTTTGATTACTCCAGTTTCTTAAAAAAACTTTTATTTACCAAAGTAATTAAAATGCTTTCTGAAATTGAAGTAGCTAGACTTAATATATTTCAGTTTTGGGTTGGTTACAATACTGGGTCATTTCAAATATAGAACCAGCATGTCTTTTCCATAACTTTGTTTGTGCTCTACAAAGTTCTAGGAGTCATGAGAGAAGACCAGCTATACAAAATACCTCTCAGGAGTCTGCAGTGCATTTTTAGTATTGTCTTCCAAGTGTGTTTTTAGATTTTGACATTTTTTATTTTGGTCACTATGGAACTCCTGTTGAATTTAAAAAGAAAAATGGATGAGCCCTGATGGATATACATCCTAAAGTAGGAGTTCAGGCATCTCCTACAAGGTATCACATTTCATCCAGCAAAATGAGATATCATGAAGTATATAAATTGAAGAGGGTTTTATGGAGGAATTTTGGAGAATTCCTAGGAAATCAAATACATGAGACAAGTGGAGAACTGAATTAAAAAGGGGTAACATTAGCTGAGTCATGAAAGTAGATTAAAAATGAAAGTCAGAAAAGGTTGCTTTTAAAAAGGATATAATTGATAGGACACATACTCTATCAAGCAGGTTGATTAGAGTCTGAAGATACTACTGCTAATCTCGGTTTTCCAGTGTTGTTTTTCACGTTATATAGATAACAATTCAAATCTAAAGTAATTCAAATATAAAAAATTAACAGTAATACAATATAGGAAAGTAAAAATGTACGGTCCTGGTTCTCTCAGATACCATGTAGTAATGCTTTTGTGTATGTTTATTTATATTCATATACACACATGCAGTTTTACATGAGATTATCTTCTATACACTGTTGTCATGAATGCCCCTCTTTTTTCTTTTTCTTTTTTAAAAATATATCTTTATTGATTTCAGAGAGAGGAAAGGAGAGGGAGAGAGAGAGAGAGAAACATCAATGATGAGAGAGTCATTGATCGGCCGCCTCCTGCACGCCCCCGACTGGGAATCAAGCCCGCAACCCGGGCGTGTGCCCTGACCAGGAATCGAACCCTGATAGCCTGGATCGTAGGTCGACGCTCAACCGCTGAGCCACGCCTGGCCGGGCAAGCCCCTCTTTTTTCTTACCCTCCCCTTTCTCTCCAACTTCCTCCCCCTCCCCTCCCCAGAAACAATCTGCTAAATATTCTTTTGTATTTCTGTGGGTTCATGGAATCATATACATAGCTGCATAACATTCCATGGTATTGATGCACCATAAAATTTTAACCAGCATTTACTGATGGATGTTCACTGTGTTTTCAGCTTTTTGGTACAACAATCAGGGTGCAATAATGTGGTGCTTCTATTTCTGTGATGCAGATTCCTAGTAGTGAGTATGTGTTAAGTTTAATATACTTAAGGACCAAAATATGCATTTCAGTTATTTGTAAAATGTTTTGCGGGCCATGGTAATGGCTTCACTCATTTATTTGGTTTGGGTGAATTAAAATCTAGGTGAATGCTAATTGTTATTTCTGGCATGCTAGCATAATAAGGAATGACTTGGAACTTCATCCCAAACCAGAGATCTGATGAATTAAAGTACCAAGGATCAGTTATTGTAAACATGGATTGCTCTTAGTATAGGGTCAAGTTGACTTGATTTGAGACATACTGGGGAATAAAGAAGTCTAGAAAATGAAGCAGATGGCCTTTTAAAAATGGAGAAAAAAATCTCGTCCTAGAGAGAGAAGGGACATGCTAGTAACTGAGAGAAATGCTTGAAGCTAATAATGATTATAAAATTGCTGATCTACTTAAGTCATTTGAAAAATCTCCCTCTAATAAGGAAAAATGAAGAAAGTGAATTTTGACAATTAGGAAGTAGTGAAGAACTTCCTAAAATAGCTATTGATTAAAGGAATCAAAAGGAGTGCTTTGAAGATTTGAACACATGCAAATCAGGCTAGACAGCTGGTGGTGAAATTTTCTCTTTTTTAATTTTATGGATCCAGGCAGAACAACTCAGAGCTTTATTAACTGTATTAACTGATTAATATCACACACAAATCACACCTTATTTGCTCATTATTTATTCCATCTTCCCTTTCTCTGGCCAGTTAAATTTTGAGTCAAGTAAATAATGTGCCTAATGATTNCTCCCCCTCCGTCTTCATCGTCTTCCAGTTAGTCAGTAAATATTTATACACCAGGCTGTATGCTAAGTACTGTACATACCAAAACAAATATGGTATCCATAGCGTAATGGTAAATAGAGACCAGAGATCTGTGATTATAACGTAGCTCACAAGTGATCTGATGGAGGGAGCTTCTGTCTGAAAAGAAAACCGGAGAGGGTTTATCTATGCCATGCTGGGAGATATAAGGAAAGGTTTCTCAGAAGATTTGAAAGTACAAACTACAACTTATTCCTAAAGGTAAACAGTACAATAATATGAAATAGAGCATAGGAAATAGAATATTTTCCAGAGACATGAAGAACACAGCAAGTTCAAGGACTAATAATAATACAAGTAGTTTGCTTGGTGCAATAAGAGATACACATGGGACAAGGCAAAAAATGTGACTTTGTTTATGTCCAGGGCAGCAATTCCTTAGCTTTTGTTCCAGCCAAACCAGCTACTCCAAAGCCTTGTGCAGAGGTGGTTAACCGATTTTGCAAGGACTTTGCTTTCCCTAAGTCCAGCTCCCTGAGCAGACAGTCCAGCAGCCGGGGTTCCTTGAGGGTGCAACAGTACTGGTTGCTACTGTGTAGTCCTGTGCTGGACTCCCCAGGCATCTCTGTTACTTCAAAGGGTGATGCTTATGCACATTAAAAATGGAATGGTGCTGGAATGCTTTATCACCAGTGATATGGAAACGACTTTTCTTTGCAGTGCTCAAATGGAAGCAACCCTGCTGACACCTTGATCTCAAACTTCTAGCTTCTAGAACTCTGAGGCAATAAGCCAATGTAGTTTAAGCCGCTCAGTTTGCAGTACTTTATTGCAGCAACCCTGGCAAACTGATACTGAAAGTTTAGAAAACATTTTCTTTATACTCACTTCATTTCAGCAGTAGGTCTACTCAGACAGCGAAAATGGGGAAAAATTAGCAGGGGGTTTATAAAGAGCAAATCATGCTAAGAAAACTTGATGGATTATTTTAATTGAATTATAAGATTAGTGTGGGAAGAATTAATTTGGAAAAATGCAAAATCATTAATTGAACACGCTTATTAATCTGCAATCCTAAATGAGCATTACTAGAAGATAGTATAAAGTGAAACATAGGTTATATTATGGAGATAAATGGT